GCCCAAAAAAAAATGCAGTCTATCTAAATTCCTGGATTGAAAATAATATAGTAAGATAATTTTGTAAACATAGTGTAAATTCTATGCAGAGTTTGAAATTATTGTGTGAAATGATTAGTGTGGTATGATCTAAGGACCACAGAATGAAAACCATGTAGATGTATAATTAATATGTATTATTTTATACATAGTATTTTTTTTTTAATCATTTGTCAACGCTTGTTGACAAAACTGGGCATCAGCATGTAGTAACGGCATATAATAATAATAATTATTATTATTATTTATAATATAAGCTATACTATATGCTATATTCTATATTGCCCAGTCATTATTACATAATTAAATAATACAACAATGCAATATTCTGAATATACAATATTTTTACTGTACAATTACTATACAATATTACTATATCCTATATGCCCAGTTTTGTCAGTTTTTGTCATATATTACATTATGATATAATATAACAATATAATATTTTTGGATATATTTACTATATAACAACAACAACAATAACAATAATAAATTATTATTATTATTATACAATATGCTATATTCCTATTTCCTATATTGGACAGTTTTGTCAGTTTTTTTGTCAAATATTACATTATAAAATAATATAATTTTTGCATTAGTAGTAGTAGCATTATTATTGCTAATATTGGTCACACTTCTCACTATGAACCATGGGCGACGCTAGGGAGGGTGCTTCAGCACCCCCAAGAAAGACAAAAGCACCCCCACAGATTTTAACCCATTATTATCATGCTGTAGCCTATTGTATTTAATAATTAAGATGATAATAATAAAAAAAAAGAAACAAAGAAACAAAAACTAAAAAAATGTACTCCTTACACATGCATAACTCGTGCAATTGAATAACCACGTGATTTGCAGCTGTCACACTTTTCGTAATGTCATTATAGCATTTTATTTAAAAAATGCGCTTCCTTGAGCTAAGTAGGCCTGCCCCCGATTAACGATTTTTCTAGTCAACTAGTTGCACGTTATATTAAATTAATTAATATAATAATATATTAACCATCCTTTAATATATAGGCAGGTGTAGGCTATGATGCTATAGCCTATTCCGTGCTCAAGATCGCTCATAAAGCAATTGCCTCAAAGCACCGGCAAAGTGATTATGAACGTGTCGGGGGGAAAAGAAGACATTTTAATTAGGGATGTTCATTTTTAACCGGTTAACCTTTAACCGACCGTATAGAATTTTGACCGATTAATACAATCAGTTAAACGGTTTAAAAAGTAATTTTTTTTTTTTTCAGTAATTTATCAAAATATTTTAAAAGATTTGCTGCATGTTTAAAATTTTGTTTTTTTAGAGAAAAAAAAAACAAGTCGCGTATAAGTCGCATTTTATTATTTCATTCAGAATCAGAATCAGAATGAGCTTTATTGCCAGGTATGTTTACACATACGAGGAATTTGTTTTCGTGACAGAAGCTTCCACAGTGTAACAGAATGACAGTGACAGAACAAAAACACAGATAATAAAAAATTAAAATAAATTAAAAATGAAAAATAGAACAAGTAAATAAGGAATAAAAATATACAAATTGACAATTGTATGTACAGGTGTATAACAATAGACAGTTGTATATACAGGTATATTATGTGCAAATTGAAATCGTAGCGTCGACCAGATGGCAACAGTTCAAAGAGGGAGTGTGCTGGATGTGAGGGGTCCAGAGTGATTCTGCCAGCCCTTTTGCTCACTCTGGATGAGTACAGTTCTTGGAGAGAAGGGAGGGTTGAACCAGTGATTCGCTCAGCAGTCCGGACTACCCTCTGTAGTCTTCTGAGATCAGATTTGGTAGCTGAGCTGAACCAGACAGTTAT